TTGCATTGTTTTACTTGTTAATATCTTTGTTTGAAAAGAAAAAAATTTTTCTTTTCATTTTGGGGTTTTAATTATACTATTTTTATTTGTGTCAAAATTTTTAAAACCCCATTTGTGAACAAACTAACTTGGGTTTTAATATATAATGTTGTTGGGGAAAAATAAATAATTTGCCCTTTAAAATTTCAAATTTGTTTTAAACTTTTTTATATTTTCCGTTTTTAAACTATTTTCAAAAAATTTTTGTTTTAAAAAATTTATTTAATATTTTTTTTTTTCTCAGCTTAAAAATTTTTCTTTGTTAAATTTATCTATATTTGGTGTCAACTTATTCTATCATTTGTGTCAACTTTCTAAAAATTTGGTTTTCAATTTTTTACTACATTTGTTCAGTTTTTACTATATTTTCAGCTATTTAACAATTTGTGTCAATTATACTTCATTTTCTCCCTAAAAATTATTTTTGTCAACTTATTCTATCATTTGTGTCCTTATACTATCATTTGGTCAATTAACATTTTATTTGCTTTACTTATAACTATCTTTTTTGCCCGTTTATACTATATTTTGCCTTTTATACTATCATTTTTTCCCAAAAAAAATACTATATTGTTAGTTTAATACTATCTTTGGGGTTCAACTTATACTAAAACAATTTGTTCACCAAACTTCATTTGTTCAAAAAATTATAAATTTGTGTCAACTTATTTTTCTTTTCATTTTTTCAGCTTTTTACTTCATTTGTGTCAAATTTTTTTCTTTTCATTTGCAAACGCTTTTACTATCATTTGTGCAACTTAAAAAATTTTTAAATTTTTTTCAAACCCAAATATTATTGTTTTCAACTTAACTATCCATTTGGGTCAGCTTTTAAATATCATTTGTGTCAAAAAATTTAAACTACAATTGCTTTAACCTTAATCATTTGGTGTCAAAAATTAAACTATCATTTTTTTTTATACAAAAATTTGGTTCATTTAAAATATATTTTTTTTTAAATATATTTGCATAAATTATAATATTTGTTTTTCAAAAAACTAAACAATTTTTCAAATATATTTTTATTAATTTATTTAACATTTTTTAAATTATATATATTTTTAATTTTTTAAAATTTTTTAAATTATACTATTTTGTGTCAGTTTATATAATTTTTAATTATTTTTTTTGTAAATTATAATATTTTTAATTATAATCAAATTTTTGTAATTATATATATTGATAGTTTTTATTAATTTTGTTAAAAAAATTATACTGCAAATTTTAACCTAATTTTTTTCAATTATTATAATTTTTTTTTTTTTTTTTTGCATATTTCTATAAAATTTTTTAAATTTTTTTTTATAATGGTTAATTATATAAAAATTTTGTAATTTTAATATCATTGTTAATTATACTATATTTTTCAACTTATATATAAATTTTGGCATTTTTTTATTTTGAAATTTCTCATTTTTCATTTTTAAAATTTGGTTCAATTTTTCATTTTTGTTGCTTTTTTCTTCATTTTGCAGCTTATCTTCATTTGTTGGCAACTTATTTAAAACCATTTTTCATTTTTTAAAACTATCATTTTTTAAAAGGCAATTTTTTTAAATAAAAATTCATTTTTCATTAAAAATTTGGGCAGTTTATTTTTAAAATTGTGTCATTTTTCTTTTTTTGTTGTTAAAATTTTTCTATTTTTGAAATTCTATTTTTTTCATTTTTAAAGCAATTTTTGTTTTTTTAAAATTTCATTTTTATTTTTTAAAATTTTTCAATTTTTTCTATAAATTTGCTCAATTTTTTCTATTTTTGTTTCTTTTATTTTAAAGCATTTGTTTAATTTTTTCATTTTTTTCAAAATTAACTTTTTCAAAATTTGGGCCCCAATTTTAAAATTTAAAAATTTTCTCAATTATTTCAAATTTTTTCATTTTTTGTTTCGAAAAGTTTTTAAAAAGAGCTTTTTTGTCTTTTTTAAAAATGTTAAGTTTTTCAAAAGCTTTTTCTGTTTTCCATTGTGATTTGTGGTGCATGTGATGTGTATATGTTTTGTGCTTATGATTTCTTTATTGGTAAATTAGCGCAATTGAAATTTGCCCAAATAAATGCACTGACAAAATATTTTATCATTCTGAATGTTGTCTCTATCAATTTATTATAAGAAAACAACAATAAGTATGTATTGTGTTGCTTTGTTTCAGGAGATGATACTGTAAAACTCTGGGACATTAGAAATTTTAAAGAGCCATTAAAAGTAAAAACAGATCTTCCTAATTTCTTCCCAGTGTAAGTTTTTTCCTATGAAAAAGATTATGGAATTTAAAGACATAGAAAACAAATTGTACTGATCCTTGTAAAAGAACTAAAATGTAGAACTAAAGAAATTAAAGCTTTGTATTAATCCTTAAATCTTTCTCATATTAATATTTTCATATAATATCATTATAAAATATCATTATATAATATCATTATAAAAATGTAGCTGTAAATATAGACATTGCAGTAGATACTTACATAATCTGCTTGCTGCTGTTAATGTTTTGAATGAAATATTAGTGACATCTTGTTGTACTAGAATAATACAATATATGATGGTACATCTGAATAATAATTTTCACTGTAACATTCTAGATAAAGGTGTTATATATTTGTTTTACTAAAAATGTACAATGTACTACATTCTGTATTTAACTTGGCTGAGAATCGCAGGTTTTCATACTCTATACAAAGTTAGCAAGTTATTTTTGGGTTGTTTTTTATGGAACTTCATATTTCATTCATCGCTGAGGGTATTCGTGTCAAAATTTACATGTGTATTCAGAATTATAATTTATAATTGCAAGGAACTGTCTAGGAGCCATAGAAAAGTGTGAAAGTAACATTTAAAAAGGAATTTTATTTCAGTACAGACTGTTTGTTTAGTCCTGATGACCAATTGATTGTGACAGGTGTCTCAGTAAAGAAGAATGAGGGTAAAGGGAAGTTACTCTTCCTGGATAGAGAATCTCTAGATGTAATGACACAACTTGAAGTGTCTGATACAGTAAGTTTTATTTTTTTACTTGTTTACTTGCATATTTTAATGTTTCATTATTTAAGACTAGAGGTTGAATATTTTTTAACCATATCTTTATTATAAACTTTTGTTAATGCAAATAGAAGTATAAGTGAATAAATGTTTTATTGAAACACATTTCCATGCTACTTTCCTAGATGTTTGATAAATGAATGGCCACTTTATTTTTAGAAGGAAAAGTAGAACTGCTTGTTTTCAGAAGTCTTAAATAAAAAGAATGATTTTTCACTTCTGTTCCTTATTCTGCATAGTTGATATATATTTTCAGGGACAGTTTTTCTGCAAAATAAAATTTCTTCTATTCAAATAAAGTTAAATTTCCCTTAAAGTAGAGAATCACTAATTTAAAATACGATGAGATGTATGATGAGATAAAATTATAAATGTTTATTGAAATAGAAATGTTTATTTTATACTGTACAGAGTGTTGTACGCTGTATCTGGCATCCACGTCTTAATCAGTTTGTAGTGGGATGTGGTGACGGCAAGGCATATCTTTACTATGATGAACAAAAGAGTCATAGGTATAAACAATTAGTTACTTATGTATTTTACATCTTAATTGTTTGTCTGGTTTTTTAGCCTATTTCAACAATTTTGGTCCTGTCTCAGTGGTCAGTCTATTTAACCAACTTTCTTGGATAACAAACCATTAATTATCAAATATCTTGAGAATAGAACTAAGGACCCTAGATTACAAATCCAGTGTTCTCAATATTGAGCTTGCAATTATAAAACAAACTGAGGAAGACAAACTTGTAAATGAATCAGGACTTACAACATATTTATCTGAACTAAGAATCAATATTGAAAGGGAGCAGTGGTCTAGTGATAAAGCTATCTGCCTCTCAACCCAGGGATCATGTGTTCGAACCATGTGGAGGTTACAACCAGCACTGGTTGGTTTCAGTTTACAGACTTGAGAGTGGTTCATATATGTTAAAAAAGATTTAATATATTTTATGTTTACACAAATTAAAAAAAACTTGTCATAATTTGAAGAACAAATGTAGTGTTGCCCAGCTTAAGATTATCTTTGTTCTTTTTCTGGCACATGTTTTATTTCTGTTGTAGTTTCATTAAAGCGTCATATTAATAAATACAAAATTCTCTGTTTCTTTTATAATTGTTGTATTTGCCTACATTTAGACATTATATAATGTAAAGTGTTTAATTTTGACAGAGGAGCAAAACTTTGTGTTGCGAAGAAACCATCAAAAGTGAAACAGATGGAGATAGTTGCACATAGACAGATTATTACACGTTAGTTTTTACTTGTTTTATATCAGCATAGATTTTTACACGTTACTTTTTACATGTTTTATATCAGCATAGACTATTACACGTTAGTTTAACATGTTTATATCGCCATAATTTATACACATTGCCTTTATATGTTCTTCAACAGCATGGATTATTACACATTAGTTTTTTCTACATCTTGTAATTCAGCATAGATTATTACACCTTAGTTTTTACATGCTTTATATCAACAAATGTCCTAGAACCTCGATCTCCATAACTATTAAAGGTATTCACTTGAAACTTTATACATCTATTAGGTATCATAATTGGAGGTCACTTTCCAAGGCCCATAACTCTGACATGGAATTTGACTGAATTATTACTTTTTGATTTAAAAAAATTCTTTGGTTTAAGTTTTGCTTGCAAAATTAATGTATCATAAAACTACTGAAACATGAATGAATAATTTGGACACAGTTTGATCATTTCCCTTCAATAATATTTAAACATGATTAATGATAGAGATGTATTTAACTAACATCTAGCATTATTGTTTTGCACTGATTTCAGCATATGCACTACCAATGTTTAGACAACAGAGAGAATCTAGTACAAAGAAACAAGAAGAGAGAGCTCGAAGAGATCCAACAAAATCTCACAGACCTGATTTACCAATATATGGACCAGGTAATCTCCTTGCTATAAACCTAATCTACCAATACATGGATATAAAAGTAAAATATTTCTTTTTGATAGTTCTATTATGTACTACTAACAGTTATCTACTAATACATGGACATATAAGTAAAATATTTCTCTTTGATAGTTCCATTATGTACTGGTAACAGTTATCTACCAATACATGGACTTATAAGTAAAATATTTCTCTTTGATAGTTCCATTATGTATTAGTAACAGTTATCTACCAATACATGGACTTATAAGTAAAATATTTCTCTTTGATAGTTCCATTATGTACTGGTAACAGTTATCTACCAATACATGGACTTATAAGTAAAATATTTCTCTTTGATAGTTCCATTATGTACTGGTAACAGTTATCTACCAATACATGGACTTATAAGTAAAATATTTCTCTTTGATAGTTCCATTATGTACTGGTAACAGTTATCTACCAATACATGGACTTATAAGTAAAATATTTCTCTTTGATAGTTCCATTATGTACTGGTAACAGTTATCTACCAATACATGGACTTATAAGTAAAATATTTCTCTTTGATAGTTCTGTAATGTACTGGTATCAGTTATCTACCAATACATGGACTTATAAGTAAAATATTTCTCTTTGATAGTTCCATTATGTACTGGTAACAGTTATCTACCAATACATGGACTTATAAGTAAAATATTTCTCTTTGATAGTTCCATTATGTATAAGTAACAGTTATCTACCAATACATGGACTTATAAGTAAAATATTTCTCTTTGATAGTTCTGTAATGTACTGGTAACAGTTATCTACCAATACATGGACTTATAAGTAAAATATTTCTCTTTGATAGTTCCATTATGTATTAGTAACAGTTATCTACCAATACATGGACTTATAAGTAAAATATTTCTCTTTGATAGTTCTGTAATGTACTGGTAACAGTTATCTACCAATACATGGACTTATAAGTAAAATATTTCTCTTTGATAGTTCCATTATGTACTGGTAACAGTTATCTACCAATACATGGACTTATAAGTAAAATATTTCTCTTTGATAGTTCCATTATGTATTAGTAACAGTTATCTACCAATACATGGACTTATAAGTAAAATATTTCTCTTTGATAGTTCCATTATGTACTGGTAACAGTTATCTACCAATACATGGACTTATAAGTAAAATATTTCTCTTTGATAGTTCTGTAATGTACTGGTAACAGTTATCTACCAATACATGAACTTATAAGTAAAATATTTCTCTTTGATAGTTCCATTATGTACTAGTAACAGTTATCTACCAATACATGGACTTATAAGTAAAATATTTCTCTTTGAAAGTTCCATTATGTATTAGTAACAGACATGCCTGACTTGAAATTAAAGTTGTTGTATTTTAGTTACTTTATATCAAACTTGATTTATCTTGTCTCAAGCTCTTGTATGATGATTCTGGTAAGATTTTAGTAATTTTATTCAGATACTTGTAATATGTTATTCCTTTCAATTGATAAATTTGATGGTATGTGTTATTTTATTATTTTGTTAATCAATTGTTCGTAAATCTTTCACTTGTGTTTTGTTTGTAGACCATTTTGTTTATAGGATGAAAACCTACAAGTTAAACTATATGCAGCCCAGGTTATTTTTTCATTCTAAATGGCTGAGGAATTGTAAAGACTGGCAGTTAAACCAGATATTCAGTTTTTGTCATTTTGTTACTATAAGATGGACATATATTTCAGGATCTGGAGGTCGCTTGGCCAATAAAGGTGGAACTTTGTCCCAGTATGTTGTACAGACATTAGTTGTGAAGAAAGAAGACCCATATGAAGATAATCCAAGGGAAGCTATTCTAAGACATGCAAAAGTTGCTGAGGAAAATCCACTTTATGTTGCTCCTGCTTATAAAAAGTATGATAAATGTTTGATTGAAATGTTGTCTTTGTATGAAATGTTTGTGTTTACAGCAGATTTAAACCTTGAAATGTTAACATAATAACTTTTGTAAGGTGCATAAAACATAACTATTATTATATCATTCTATCCTTACAATGTTAAATAAAACTGTTTAATGTTATAACTTGGATTTAAGAGTTGTAAATAACTAAATATTAACACTAGTAAAGATAAGTTTTCTTGAAGCAGAAAAAATTGTAAAGCAAAAAGATCTGTACCCACGTCAGAGATAACTCCATCTGTTATATTGTTCAATGTACAGCCTTCCTTTAAGGAATAGAAACTACAAGTCATCCTGTGATTATATATTAGTTCTTAAGGACAGAGCGTAACTGATTGAAAAAGATCAGATTTCCCTTTAGGTATAATTTAAGGCACTAGAGGAAGTCTGCTAGTTTAGCTGGATAGCTCCTTTACAAATATGAAAGCAAGTCAAAGCAACAGCAATAAGGGTCAAGTGGTTAAAACTAAGCAACCTGAGTCGCTTGGCCACAGACTCCCCCTCCCCTCCACACACTCTCATTTATCATTTAAATAAGGATTATAATGATATTAAAGGCAATAATATTAGCAAAGTGTAAAGTCATTGCAAACTGTAGGCAGTTTCTGTATTATAGTACTGTACAGGAGTTTTGTACTTGTATAGGTGTTACTGAATGTCGACATTTGACAGTTTATCCTGGTTGTGAACAAAACATATATTCAATGTATTTATATATATGTACTGTATACACTATATTGTATTGAACTACAAATATAAAAGTGATAAATGATATGATTTCAGAACACAGCCAGTACCAATATTTCAAGGTGAAGAGAAGGAAGTGGAGGAAGAAGATATACAGCCACCTTGGAAGAAAACCAAAAAGTCATAGCAAACATGTGTAAACATAGGACAAACAAATGATAGAATAAAATCTCTTGCTGGATAAGATGTTTTAAATGAAATGTCTACTTAAAGACTGATTTTATGTTGTACAAATCAGTCACTGGATGTTTTAACCAACAAGAAATGACACACTAAACATACATTTCAATTGTTTAAAGTGTAAGAGGGTTTCAAATGCTGGAAACTTGACTGTCAGATCTTGTTTAAGGCCCAGAGTGACTTATTATGTTTATCTATCCAACTGTCAGTGTGGCTGCTCAGTATTTCTTGAATTACTAGAGGAATCTTTGTAAAAATTAGGCGAAATGTTTATCTCTTAAGATTAACTGTTGAACACAGATTTTGTAACTAAGGTAACATTTCAATATAAAGAATTTGAGCCATGAATTTATTGTCTTTGTTATATCTATTTAACCTTTGTTAGGATATTCATCATAGGCTTGAACAATTTGTATCACTCACATATCAAATACTTTGTTTATGAGTTTAACATATAAAACGTTTTAGCATCTTTAGCATCAGATTCATATAGAATACTCAATAGGGCTTTTTGGAGAGTTAAATTCTTAAATTTTAGAATAGCCTAAAAAGTAGTCACAATTATTGGTCCAAAATTAAACTATAAAGTTATAGTAGATCCTATATCTAAGGATAAACATGATACTTGTGTCAAATGTGTATGTAAGTGAAACACCATGGAGAGCCAGTATTGTTTGCACTACCGTTGCAGTTTTAGGGATAATATGAGGGGTGTTTCAGAATTAATGCAACTTCACTTAAATATCATCAGAAACATGCAGTATTAATTTTTCAAATCAAAATCAACATTTCATAAAAATCTTTTTTTTTTATACATAAGTTATTACATCACACTACATGTAAATATAGTCAGTGAAATGAAGTCATAGAAATACAGAAACTTGATTCAGATGGGAGAACTTCCAAATACTGTTTTCACTTATAACCATATGTAGAAACAAGGAACCACTCAATGAAGATTTACACTAATTTTCTAGGCTTGTCTCTCTAGCAGTTCATCAACACTGATTCATTTTATTTTGAAGAAGGAACTGAAAGAAAATATTTGTTCCTGATATATGGGTGATGTTGGTCTAACAGTTATAGTGTCTGTACAGTAAAGATAATAAAAGTTATTTTCTGAAACTGGCACTGAAACCTATGTACATTTTGAGAAGATTTGCAAAGGTTCTATTTAGATCTGGGAGATCACTAATTGGCTGTGAATTAACAACTGTTAAAATTTCATACCAAAATGAATATTCCATACATGGTTTCAAAGTTACCATCTTGTTCTGTCACCATTAAAGATGTTGAACACATAATATTTAATGATAATAGGTGGCAAAATAAATGTATGACAAACATTTCCTTTTTCTGTGACAACACTTTATGGCTAACACAAGACTTAATTAAGACTTGTTTGAGGAAAACGAAGAAGGGTATCAAATATATCAACTAATTCTCAACACCAGACTTTTGTGAACATTTCCTTGCTCTGTTAAATAAGTTCTTTGGGTGTTATGTAGATGTTATAGCTCCCATAGCAGTCAGCTTGGGATTTTCAAGTGTCTGGTATATGTAGGATAAACCATTCGGGGACAATAAAAATGTACTTTTACAATAAAAGAATTATAACTTTGTATACAGGCAAAACAGGAGCAATTTATTGTGAATTAAGTATACAATTTGTAAGTTGTCAAGAGAAAAGTTGACAAGGTTAAGTTGCATTAGTTCTAAAACAACCCTGGTAAATGTTTCAGGCAAATTTTGAGTCTCCTTTATATATCTAGAACTGCTTAATAATTATGATACTTTGGTCATTTAAATGACATAAAGAATGTATCTTTGTAAGGTCAAGATCTAATCTCTGACCAATATAAGTTCTGATGTTTATTCCACATTCCCTAAACTCATGAGGGATATTAATGACACTTGAGCCAACTGTTGGAGACAATTGGTAGATCCCTAATTGATATTGATGGAATTACTGGCTTTTCAAGTGTATATAAAATACTGTATAAAACAAATATTGCATAAAAACTGTGCGTGCAGGATACATGTACTCATAAATAGCAGAGAAAACAAGCATTAATGGATAGAATCTCACCAGCATCTGTTATAAGGACCCCTGTAGTTACATTATCAAAACATAACTGTCAAACGACATAGCTCTAGCATGTGAAAATCATAACATAATCAGTTTTCATATGAAAAAACAAATAACTGGAAACGTTGAATTACCAAAACAGACACAATTATCTGGGTTTTTTTATGCAAGATAAGCATTAACATCTGCATAAGCCCTCAGTCTTATTAGATCATTTGCTCTATGGGATCATGCTTTAAATATGTCCTCATTCTGCTATAGGTGTTCATGCATGACAAGTGCATTAACCTTATATTTGTTAATCACTTTTCCTTAATGTATACTTGTATCTATTAGCAAAATACTGACCAATTCCACATTTAGTTTTCTTTACAAGTTTTGTACCCTTCAAGGCAACCTTTTTTATGAAATCTAGTTAACAAGATTCTTTAAACTAATAGCAACAATTTGGATAAATTTGAAAAAACTTTATCACCTGCAAAATCATTCTTGCACAATTGATAGTCCTTGAATATATTCTCCTTCCTTCATTGAACTATTGTCATATTATTTAATTAAAGTGATGATCAGTAATGAAACTTGGGTTAAAATATAACCTCTTGTCATTTACTTCAATACCTACTAGGGGTGTAACAATACAGCAAAAACCATATTGCAATATATTGCCATTTTGCAGAAGTGTATTGCAATACATATTGTCATGTATATGTTTTTATGTAAAGATGGGGTAACAATAAACATTATATATTATTATAAGGGGAAACTTAATAAGAATGTACGGACTAAACAGATAGTTAAGTGTCACACAATTTGATAAACACATCTTTCACATCTGAGCCGCTTATGTAAATTATGCGGCCGCTTATTGACTTTTAAGTGTACTAGTTGTCGGATATTTTTATCTTACGTTGGTGCCAATAAAATTTGCCAATTAAAGATTTTATGTGAAATTTGTACAAAATTAGAAGGCAATTAATTGAAAATAATGATTTTATAGAATACCGGTTTTCCAAAAATTATTATAATGTCACTGAATTTTTTTATCATATATCGGTATACCGATAAACCTTTACACCCTTAATACTAACATTGAATTTTAACATGTTAATGCACATTGATCAGTTTTATTTATAACGTCTAAAGGTCAAATTCACTTTAACCTGCAAACACGAAACATAAAATTGATTATAGAAGACAATGTGCATTAACCTAGAAACCTCAAACTTTGTAACTAATTTATTAACTGTATAGATGCACCTTGACAAAGCCTACCCACCATACCCATTTTGGGTCACAAGATCAAGGATTAACTATCCAGCTTTTTTAAACACTTTTATTAAGTTTCTGTTAGCAAGTTAGTTTTTTCCAAAACTGCTGCTCTGGGCTCTATTGAAAGGTGGTTATAGTTTCTGCCTGGGCTTATGGTCACTGACTGGGCTCTTATAATGGGAGTTTTTATGGTCACTGACTGGGCTCATATAATGGGAGTGTCGATGGTCACTGACTGGGCTCTATGAGAGAATGGTAATGGTTGCTGACTGGGCTCTATTGGGAGAATGGTTATGGTCACTGACTGGGCTCTATTGGGAGAATGGTTATGGTCACTGACTGGGCTCTATTTGGGAGAATGGTTATGGTCACTGACTTGGCTCTATTGGGAGAATGGTTATGGTCACTGACTGGGCTCTATTGGGAGAATGGTTATGGTCACTGACTGGGCTCTATTGGGAGAATGGTTATGGTCACTGACTGGACTCTATGAGAGAATGGTTATGGTCACAGACTGGCTCTATGGGGAGAATGGTTATGGTCACTGACTGGGCTCTATTGGGAGAATGGTTATGGTCACAGACTGGGCTCTATTGGGAGAATGGTTATGGTCACTGACTGGGCTCTATTGGGAGAATGGTTATGGTCACTGACTGGGCTCTATTGGGAGAATGGTTATGGTCACTGACTGGGCTCTATGGGAGAATGGTTATGGTCACTGACTGGGCTCTATGAGAGAATGGTAATGGTCGCTGACTGGGCTCTATTGGAGAATGGTTATGGTCACTGACTGGGCTCTATTGGGAGAATGGTTATGGTCACTGACTGGGCTCTATTGGGAGAATGGTTATGGTCACTGACTGGCTCTATTGGGAGAATGGTTATGGTCACTGACGGAGAATGGTTATGGTTGCTGACTGGGCTCTATTGGGAGAATGGTTATGGTCACTGACTGGACTCTATGAGAGAATGGTTATGGTCACAGACTGGGCTCTATGGGGAGAATGGTTATGGTCACTGACTGGGCTCTATGGGAGAATGGTTATGGTCACTGACTGGGCTCTATTGGGAGAATGGTTATGGTCACTGACTGGGCTCTATTGGGAGAATGGTTATGGTCACTGACTGGGCTCTATCGGGAGAATGGTTATGGTCACAGACTGGGCTCGACTGGGCTCTATGAGAGAATGGTAATGGTCACTGACTGGACTCTATGGGAGGTTGGTTACGGTTGCTGACTGGGCTCTTTTGGTAGAATGGTTATGGTCACTGACTGGGCTCTATTGGGAGAATGGTTATGGTCACAGACTGGGCTCTATTGGGAGAATGGTTATGGTCACTGACTGGGCTCTATTGGGAAAATGGTTATGGTCACTGACTGGGCTCTTTTGGGAGAATGGTTATGGTCACAGACTGGGCTCTTTTGGGAGAATGGTTATGGTCACTGACTGGGCTCTATTGGGAGAATGGTTATGGTTGCTGACTGGGCTCTATGGGAGAATGGTTTAAGTCACTGAATATAAATGACTTGCTCTCACCCTTTGTAGCTTTGAGTCCCATGAAAAACTTCAAATTGTTACATGGTGAAGAAAGTTCAACTAGAGTTGCCCCATTGTAACATATATAATGCAAATAGTGGCCCTTAAACAGTTAAGCTGAAAGCATTGTCTTTACATTGTCAGTGTGATTTAAAAAGAAACAAAACAAGAGCTGTCACCCAAGTGACAAATGCCCCCGAAAAAGTTTCTTAAGCATGCAGGTATTATGAAAGAAAAGAGAATGAAAGTAACTTATTGCTGAATATTGTTCTTTGTATTATTGTACCTGTAATCTCTAATTGTGATAGCATGAACCTTCAAAATATAAGTGTGACCTTGACCTCTGAAGAAGGGACGTGGTTCCTAGACGCGACAAAATGTTGTTATGAGATAAGACATTTGTGCCAAATTATTTCAAAATCCCTCAATGCATGACAAAGTTACCGTCTGGACATGATTGTGGTGTAAGTGGGGACACACGGACATGAGCCTTAGCCACGACACATTGTCTTGATGTGGTAGACATTTGTGCCAAGTTATTTTAAAATCCTTCCATGTATGACAAAGTTACAGTCCGGGCATGAATGTGTATCTTCAAATTCTTCTCGAGAGAATGAGTACCTTCAAACTATAAGTGTGACCTTGACCTTGAAGGTAGGGACATGGGTCTTTGTCGCTACATGTTATCTTGATGATGTAGAAATTTATGCCAACTTATTTTAAAATCCTTCCATGCGTGACAAAGTTACAGCCTGGACATGATTGTATGTACCTATTAATTCTAAATGTGATAATGTGAAACTTCAAAATGTTAGTGTGACCTTGACCTTTGAGGTAGAGACGTAATACTTTGACGCGAAACATCGTCTTGATGTGGTAGAAATTTTTGCCTACTTATTTTAAAATCATACGATGCATGACAAAGTTACAGCCCGGACACGAATGTGTGTACCTATTTACTCAAATTGCAATAATGCAAAACTTCAAAATGATAGTGTGACCTTGACCTTTGAGGTAGGGACGTGGTTCTTGGACGTGACACATTGTTTTGATTTGGTAGACATTTGTGCCAAGTTGTTTTTAAAATCAAATAATGTATGACAAAGATACAGTCCGGACACAAATGAAGTGGGACAGACGGACGGACTGACAGTGCGATTATATTATGCTTCCCTTCGGGGGCATAAAAATGGTACTTGATCTAGGTCTACATTTTACCTAACAATACATACATTGCAGTTATATGTACAAATTAAAAGAAAGAAAAATAGTCCTTTTACCATTTATTTCTTGGAGATAAAAAAATTGTCCAAGCCCTTTAACTACAACATTATAACAAGAGCAATCAGTGATCACATGTGTCGCCTCATAATGGCCAATTTCATGTTGGGACAAGTTTTGTGACAGACGGACAGACAGATGGACAGTGCACAACTAGACTTGGTACTGATCGTTCCTGTAAAGTTTGGATGAAATTGCACCAGTAGTTTATGAGGAGTAGTCCTGACAAGCTTTTGTGTATCTGGCAACACACAGAAAAAAACACCTTTTTTATCAAAGGGCCATAACTTGGCCAAAAATCATTCAACCGGAAAACCCGTGCAATATGCACAAGGACTTGAGCTACAGATCAATCCTGTAAAGTTTCATTGAAATTGCATTAGTGGTATAAGAGAAGTAGTCCAGACAAACTTTAAAAATAAAAATTATTAAAGGGCCATAACTCTGACAAAAATCATTGAACCGGAAAATGCTGACAATATGCACAACTAGACTTGGTACTGATCATTCCTGTAAAGTTTGGATGAAATTGCACTAGTAGTTTATGAGGAGTAGTCCGGACAAGTTTTGTGACGGACAGACAGACGACATAGAAGTGATCCCTATATGTCGCCACTACTCCGTAGAGGCGACACAATAAATTAACAGTAGAATTAATGAAACATTAAGGTCAGCAAAATTGTGTAAACATAATTATTCAAACTTAATGAGAAAATGCAAAGTAACACTTCTTTATAATTATAATATACATGCAGTACAATACTGTGATAAAGGTACAACCAAAATGAACATTTTCAGTAATTTTCAAAAAATTTATCAGTCTATTTAGTTTAAAAATGTTAGAAATGTGTTCTAAATTCTTATATAAATTATGTAACCTGATGATACGACCAAATTAGGTTAAACTGAAATTATGAATACTATATACCTAACTGGGAGCATAGGGCATAATTTTTTTAAAGGAGACAAATGAAGAATTTTATTATTTGATACAAAAAAAAAATGTTCCTTTAAACCCAACATTTCTAACAGTATTTACTATTATATAATACTATGTGTAAACACTATAATTCCAAGTTGGCACTACTAAGCCTGCTGGAGATATCCATCTCTTGTTATCTATGACATCTCAATTTATTTACAAATCCATTTAATGATGACTTATTTAAGCACAGATTACTTATAAATGTCTTTATTTCATTAGCTCAGTGATAACAGTATTTAGTTGTTGTGTAAATGCCCTGAATGAAAATTTATCTTCCACATGTTTTTTTCCAGCTTCACCAAGTTTTCCTGCTAATTTTGGATCATCTACAATTCTTTCCATTGCTTCAGCAAACTGGTCAGGCAATCCTTCTCTTAGATAACCAGTTTTTCCATCAACTACAGTTTCTAACGGGCCACCACTACTGCAAGCTATAACAGGACATTTCATATACATAGCTTCTATTGGCACAATCCCAAAATGCTCCTTATCTGGTGTGTATATCAAACAATCACAATGCTCCAGCAATAAACGTTTCTGTCCGTCACTAATAGATCGTAAGAATGTTACATCGTCATTGATACCTAATTTATCACACAGTAATCTAAGTTCTAGATAATGTTCCTTATTTTCTACAACTCTCTCATCATAACCACCTGCCATTATTAAATGAATTCTATCACCTGTAGATTTGGAGATCTTATCCTTCAGTTGACCTATAGTAAAATAAGAATCAAACCATTAATCGTCTTCATAACTAATTAAAAATGTGAAGCTAATAAATGAAAGTTATTTATTCTTTAACATACTGTTACATGTCACATTTTCAACATGTCAGTTTGTTGCATTAATCTATTTTTACCATTGGGGACTAGAATATCTGTAGAACTTATGTGCCACACATAATTGTGTTTTGTATGAAGGAAAATAATAACAACAGCACAACTGACAGAAGTAAACTAACTCTATCTGAGAGTTTGGTAAGCATTCTTTGTATTTCATTTCATAGAGTATAGCTCAATACCATATAGCCGCAGTACTAAGTTTTTTATGTACTTGTGTATGATTCGGTGTTTGTGTGACAAAGCATAGGATTTTAAATCAACTGAGTAAAACAGTACATCTGTTTTACTAAAAGGTTGTGAAAATATCAAAATATGTTCATGAACTTCATTTCTACATCAACTTATTAGTTTATGCAACTTACCAAATGCTTGAATTGCCAGTGCTAAGTTTTTCTTTCGCTCATATCTGTTGATAGACAGGAACACAAGATTTTTGTTGGTGGGCATAATGTCATCTATATTCTCTTCTACTGGCTTATTAAATGCTGTAAAGTCTGGTATTGGATACAACACTGATGGTTTACAGTTTCTTAGTGATCTAAATGTATCTTGGAAAACAGAGGCTGTAAAAAGGAAAGAAATTATTGTCGATAAGCAAATATTATTCACAACATTTTTATTATTTTCCTAATTTTATTTCTTTTTAGGGAGGTCAGGTACATATCCTGATCCGGATATTCAAAGTATGCTGCCCAGTTTCCCGCTATTACCCAGCTTCGCTCAATCTTTACTATGAGAAATGGGGTACACATCAGGTATATCTGGGTCAGAATTTGTATACATGTATGTAATGTCGGGAAATTTAAGAAGATAGTGCAAATAACTACTGAAAGTGCCTACCTACAGACCTTTTGGATTAAATTTGGACCTGTAAGCGAGATTATTATAGCTCTGTCTTTTCTGTTTCAACTGTTTGCATGCACTGACATTAGTTTGTTATTAAGAAAAAGATCAATTAATGTTCCAAATCGTCTTCTTACAGCTTGGTCAAGCAATGTCTGACCTAGACAAAAAATGCATTTCGCTTTAAAATTCCATCTTTTGTCGTACCAACTGGTCTAATATTGTACATTTTCGAAAGAGAAATCATTTCTGCGTACATTGCACTTTATTTGGTGAAAATTGGTTGACAATTAACAAAGATCTGGGAGGTAAAATAAGGCCTGATGGTAGTTCCGCTGGCGAACCTTTCTACCTTTACTATATTTATAGTATATATGTATGAAATTTTTAAAAATAACTTGCCTTTGTTGTTTTATTAAAAAAAAACCTTTTTGAGATAAACAAATATTTTATAAGTGAAAAAAATATTTTATTTATAAAAATATGGGGGCGTGGTCATGTACATGTTTACTTTCCAAGCCACGCACCGACTGCCTTTGTACTGTATGTATATATACACAACTCAATTAAAGCTTTCAAACCAATAATATAAATCAGGGTTTTACATCTCTTTGAAATTTTAGGGGTCCAGTGGATGCACAGCCTAGAAAAGTAGGGGTCCAGGCCTGAATTTTAGGGGTCCAAAATTATTTTCACTATAAAAGACTATGAAGACCACTCTATTTTGCTTAAAATCATTTATTTACCCTGCAAGAGATATGCATGTAAATTGTACTGTTTTCATAATTAGAAGTATATGATTTCAATATCTTTTATCACTAGGTTTTTTATAGCCCTATAGTAGCCCTTTGTGCTATTTCCAAGGCTTATAAGTCTTTGAGTGGCTGGAATGTCAAGTTTTAGTAGCATATTTTGTTATTGATAAAGGTGATTACACCAACAGACTGAAAATTTGTACTGATCTATTTGTAAATATTTTAGCTGAACTAGTAAACACACAATATATAACTTTACAGACCAGTCAGCTAAATATGTTGCGTTTTTAAAAATATCATATAACAAAAGGCTGACGAAACCGCTTTTGCACCTCCTCATAAGCTGGGGCATACTTGATGTCCCAGTCAAAAGTTAAGTTCGCCGAAACCATTATATTTATAACACCAACGATAATAACATACCCAGTGACTTAATTTCTATAACACTATGAAAATAAGTTTGCAAAAAGCACTGCCTTTTTTATTATTGCCGTTCATGTACAAAATACATTCGCATCGACATTGGATACGCTAACCAATATTAATTGCTTGTTATAAATAGTCTGTCTAAATATAGCAACAGAAAAACCAAAAACAGCTACCTAAAATAGATTTTACGGTAAACGTCATCAGTTACTGTAGCTTGCACGACAAACGTCATCAGTTTCTGCAGCGGGCACTTGCAAAGAGCATGCGCAGTAGATTTCAATTATGTTAACTTCCGAAATAAACAATGCAAGCATTTTCTGCTCGCTGTATTAGATTTAAATGGAATTTTGTGAGCTTTGAGAAGAACAGGCTTCACGAAAGTTGCCAGACCGTCGGACATGTCCGACAAAAATCAGGCCGGTCCGATATTTTTTTCCGAGTTCCGGACCTTATGTCCGGTACGAATACCGGGATATATCCAAGACTGATCAAGACAGAGTTTTTTCCCTTGAATAAAAAAATGTAAAACGAGTTTTGATTCGCCGTTTCATTTTTAGTGTCCAATCAAATTCTAGATACATAAAACTTTCGATGATCTTGTACTCGGAAGAGTTACTGCATTATTAAATTATTACGTTGGCGCTACGCCAGGCAAAAAACGTAAATTATCTAATGAAGGAAAAAACGAAACAAAAGAAATACGAGTCCAGGCGCCTGCCGAGAAAATTTGTGGGTAAATGGAAAAATGACCGCTCGTGGTTGGTTTTTAACGAGGAAGAAAATAAGATGAAATGTACATTGTGTCATAAATTTTATAAAGATCATATGATGATGATGATTTTGATCATGAATGTTTAAATTTCCAGACAGAGTCCATCAATCTGGATAAACTGATGTTTTATTTAAGAGAATAAAATTGTGTTGCAAATCTTTAAAAGTTCCTATGTCTTTAAAAAAAACACAAAGGTACTACCATATACATATATTTGGAAAAAAAATTTGGTCACACAAAAGTTCTTTCGGTCAGACAAGAATTGAAAGTTTGTCTGACCGAATGTCAGGCAAATGTTTCAGCAGTTTCGCGAAGCCTGGAAGAAAGAGATAAAATCATGTCGGGCCAGAAACAATAATATCTATTGTCTAGGATTATTTTTTGTGCGTACACTTGGACGCAAGTGGATAACTTATATGCGTACATGTCAAAATTTATGCGTATAGGGACGCAAAATTCTGCGTCCCGTAAAACCCTGATAAATAATTGAGAGTCTTTCTTCTTTTTACAACTGGCTGGAAAAACAATTACCACTGTTACCTAATCCTGAACACTAAGTGACGACTTAGTGACAGCGTGGCCAAGAGGTTAACGCATCAGACTATGAACTAAGGATTGCTGACTGCATTAGTAATTGGTTCCAACCCTGTCAAGGGCAAGCCGTTGTTTCCTTCAGCAAGAAACTTTACGTTCATTGCTTAGTACTGGTTGGTTCCAGGAATAGATTCAAGAGTGTTTCAATAAGCTTATAGCTTCCAACACAAACGTACTTAAATAAATTTGTATGAACTAAGTGACTTACCTGTGAATTTACTATTAACAAGAACAATATGTGCCATCCCAGTTGTCCATTCTTCTAATAAGTCTATTGGAGCTCTGTAAATTCTTTTTAAAATTGTATCTCTCTTGGCAAGTAGCATATCAGGAAAATGACAATAAAACAGAATTTTTCCTTTTGAACACTTCAATATTGGCACACATGCAGATATTTGGTCACAGAAAACTATGTCAAAGCAAATGTCGCTGAAAAACACCAAATAGATTGCTGCATATATCATGCGTATGTATGCACATACAGCATAAAAACGTCCAAAAAAATTTCTTGGTAGCCAGTCACCTGCAACAGTAACTTTGAAACTGCCATCTCTAGTTTCCTGAAAACAATGATTAGGGTCGTGATGAGCTGTCAAAAATTCAACTTCATGACCCCGAGATTTTAAAGCCAATGCTGCATCTACTACGGCCTTTTCTGCTCCGCCAATACCCAAATCTGGGTGAAGAAATACAATTTTTGGCATTTAAGAGACTATTATTTTGCTTTCAACATAAATCAAGACAAAAATCAGAAAATATTGCAAGAAAAAATGTACATTTCGTGTACAGGAAGTCGACACCGTTTCTCGCCTTCAATTAAAAACCTATATTTTTGAACCACAAGTGAAATATGTAACCTAAAGAATTGAAAATATAATCAAGGGTATACATATATAATTTTCAAACACCTCGCGGGTATTCATATTCTTTTTTATAATAAAAAATGGATTTTTAATGCAATTTCATTATTAGTAAATCAAATATTGTTGTTTTTTTTACAGAGTTGCCAAATTAAGCACGAAGAAATTTACATATCTCCAAAATGTGGATGCTTTAAGAGCATTTCCAGTGGTACCAATGCAACAAAAAAAATGTTACACACGGTTACCTCTACCCCTTGAAGAAGTTACCTTCAGCACGGATTTATATTACATAATGTAATATAAATCCGTGCCTTCAGGTTGTACTCCCGTATATTTTAATTAGAGAGGAATTCCTTAAAGAGCCATTATATACTTATGTTCACTTTAAGTGCAAAGGGAATAATTAAGGCAATGGAGATAAGGTAATCATAACTAGATAGATCGATATTTATTCAGGTTAAAACACACATATACCTAATACAAACACTTATGCATTTTTATATATCAGTTATAACACAGTTGTAATAAGATAATTCGGAAGTTTGCCAAACATTAATATCACAGGAGGCTCATTAAATAATAAATATTATTATATGATCTAAATATAGCTGCAATCTCATTGGTCCAAACAGTAGTCAACAGAACTTTTTATAAAATCATATTTACTGGGTGTAGTATCATATTCAATGGCTGAATTGGATTTTCCCAGCCTAAAAATAGATTGAGACTCATATTCAATGACCATACACCGTAGACTGTTAATTACGCGTGTTAATTAAAAAATAATTGTTGCTTTTTTTCTTTATGGCATATTTCTCAATTAAAATATTAATACTTTACTATTATACTTAAGGGTTACAACGCAATAATGAGTATAAACTTGAATTATTTTTGTATGCGCAGCGTTTGCGTAGTCGTTGCACGCCTAACACGTGCGTCTTTCTTCCCGCGCTTCAACGAGGCAAAATTTGTACATGTATAATTATAAGGTTGCACTTTTGTGATTTTTTTAATTTCTTAGCCTATTCATATAATAAAACAATTATTGACTAGTGAACCATTGAATATGATGTGATATTCACCGGCAGAAAGTCATATTGACCTCGGCTATCACCTCGGTCAATATGTCATCTGCCGGTGAATATCACATCATATTCAATGGCTCACTAGTCAATAATTGTATAATAATATTAAAGAACAAACTATAAAAAAAAATATATTTCAGACAAGACCAAATTTATCATTCTTTCCCTTGACTAGTTTCAGTAAAGTATGAGTAATTTATGTTTTATTACAGAATATAATATAAAGTTCTTTGTTTAGACTAGTGTATTAAGTTTAAAGAAAACCATTCAATTACATTTGGAGTTATGCTCTGATTTTTTTAAAGTAACTGATATTAAAGGGGAATAACATTAAAAGTAGACAAGGTAGAGTTATTTTCTTGCATACTGCACTTCTCATCAATGTAAGTGTTTTAAGTTTGAAGAAATATCTCAAGTAGTTTCGAGTTATGCTATGGACGACTTTTTCCAAAAGAAATCTGAAACATGAGAATAATTCTAAAAATAGGCAGGATAGATTACTTCCTCCCAATGGGCTCTTTCAGAGTATGCAGTTTAAAGAAAATCGCTCGAGTACTATTTTGGTGTTATGGGGTTATTCTCTGGACAAATTCACTTCACTTCCTACCAATATGCCATGTCAGCTATTAACCCATTAATGCATGGGCATTTTTTGAAAAATGGCTGTTTTCATTGAAATAATTGATTATATTAAAGTTATTCCCCCTTGACATATTTAAATGAAATGGAAAAATGCAAATGAACAAATGAGATATTAAGAATGGTCTCTGTCCATCCATCCGTCCTAATTTGTCCAGAGTATAACTCTAAAAAGTACTTCAAACTGCATATTGAAAATTTATAAGTTTGAATTGAATCCTTTAAGTTCTTTTGGAATTGTACTCTAGACAAGACCTTTAAACCTTTAAAGCAAATCCTTTTTTAAAATCGAAACTGTTTAAGGGGAATAACTCTAAAATAGACAAGGTAGAGTTTTTGTTCTTGCACATTGAACTTTCCACCAACGTGCTTATACAATTTATTAAGTTTGAAAAAAATCCAAAGTAATTTGGAGTTATTGAGTTTTTCAAGTATACCTGATAAAGGCGAATATAACTCTAAAAGAAGGCAAGGTAGAGTTAATGTACTTGCACACTGAACTTTTCTCCCAATATACTCTGTCAGTGTATGAAGTTTGAAGAAAACAGCTTTTGTATTTTTGGAGTTATTCAAAATTGGGACGGGGGACGCAAGTACTCACAAACCGATGAATATCATTTCTTATAACCTCTTGCATTGATGGATGGATAAAAGTACCATTAAACGGACCATACTATTTGTGTCTGCATTATAATAAACATTTGTACCAAACGTGAAGCAATGGTACAAATGACACCCCAGCCGACTGGTCTTTATCATGAATTGTGTTCTTAGTTTGGTCCAGTTTTTAATGTAATTTGTATTGCTATTATTAAATATCATCCAAAAATGGATTTGTTTATTTGCAAAGCTGTACTTGTTTACATTTTGTAGATGGGCAATATTATTTCAGCTTAATATGACCAATTAAGTTTCATACAACAATGAATATCATATCGGGATCGCCTGTAGTCTGTCTGCAAATTAATCTACCAATGGCAACTTATGTCCGTAAACATTGGAACCATTAGAATTGTACACCTGTCACGTGTATCTGGTCTATTTTGTCCATAAAAACTCACATGGACAAGCATTATACACGATCTTTAGTTTAGATCTGACTGAAGGGTTTTGTCTAAAAAATTATTAACATTCATGTATTCTATCTAATCTATGCACAAAATTTATGCCATATTTTTTACATATATGTACATGTACATCATATTTTATCAATTTATTTGTCAGGAATCGTAGTTTTCATAAGTAATAAGTTATATAAAAAGACATCAGTTTATTGACTGAAAAATAACTTAAATGTGACTATTATAATGGTTATCTAAAAACATCTGTTTCTATGAGCCAAAATGAACTCCATAATCACCTCGGATTTAATACGGATTGAAAGTATTTCTACCGAGTGCACGTTTTAGATGCAAACAAGAACAGACCGAGAGTGTAAATAACGAATGTATGTACACGTATTTGACATCCAAAGGAAAATAAAGTCTGTTTCGGTACAATTATGACTGAAAATACATGTATGTCTGACACATATAGTGAAATTAAAGGAACTCACAAAGGGTCAAAAGCCTAAACACATTAAATATGAATTTCTGAAGTAGAACATCTTAGGCTCTTAACGATCCTGTATGTTGTAATTGGGGTTGTATACCGCACTTAAGTGAAATTATATGTATGTATATAATTATGCTTATAAAACAATTTTCAAACATCGAATAATATGTAAAATATTTACTGCAAATATTTGTACATATAATATGTAATCATCAAAATATATGCATTCATTTCCTATTGAAAAATTTGACTAAGACTTTTATAAAATAGAATTTTTTTACCTCCCTTTATTTACATGAAATGTTAATTCGGTAATATCTATATTATAACGCTTTTTGGAACTTACAGAATTGATCAATCTTAATTTGAGCATCATATTTATGATATAAAACCATAAAAAATGTGTTACAGGATCTTTAAAACAGAAAGATATACAATGGATGATTAAGAAATAAACCCAGAAATAAAATGAAAAACGTTTTCATTCTCCGAGTCTAAAAAATTACTATAAAAACCATATATTACTCGAACAATATTTTCTATATACACATTATTTTCAATTTATCAGTTAATTGATGTTATCGGCTATTTTGCATATTTACTTAAATATAAATATAATTTAAAAAAAACATGTTCTTATTATAATTCAATAGTATGGAAAAGCGGTTAAATTATTACGAACTATCACTGCAGCAATGACCGAAAGAACAATCACGAAGCTGTTACAGACAAAAACTCTCCCGGGAGCGATTACAGAGAAGATATTTATGCAGCACAAGAATTACACATGAACAATTACATAAAAACTATTACTGGAACTGTTTCAGAGAAGAACTATGACAGGAGCAATTGCAATCAAAATCTATCACAATGTTTATAACAGACGATAACTATCACAGAAAGTATTACAGACAATAACTCACAGAGTTATAAAAGACGAGCAATTATAGATTAGAACTATGACATATGACAGTAGAAATAACAGGAAAAGCTACCAGGGATTATAATAGCCAAAACTACCACAGGAGAAATTATACACAAGAACTAACAAAGGGATAATTGTAGTCAAGAACTATCACAGGAGCTGTTACAGACAAGAAATATAGGAGTTATTAGAGACAGAACTATCAGTGGAGTTGTTACAGACAGAACTATCACTGGAGTTGTTACAGACAGAACTATCACATGAGTTATTACAGACAGAACTTCACAGCAGCTATTACAGACAAAACTATCACAATCGTTATTACAGACAGAACTGCCACATGTGTTATTACAGACAGAACTATCAAAGAAGTTATTACAAACAAGAACTATCACAGAAGCTATTACAGACAGAACTATCACAGGAGTTATTACAGACATAACTATCACTGGAGTTGTTACAGACATAACTATCACATGAGTTATTACAGACAGAACTATCACTGGAGTTATTACAGACAGAACTATCACTGGAGTTGTTACAGACAGAACTATCACTGAAGTTGTTACAGACATAACTATCACTGGAGTTATTACAGACAGAACTATCACATGAGTTATTACAGACAGAACTTCACAGCAGCTTTTACAGACAAAACTATCACAATCGTTATTGCAGACAGAACTGCCACATGTGTTATTACAGACAGAACTATCAAAGAAGTGATTACAAACAAGAACTATCACAGAAGCTATT